TAAAAATAATCCAAATGTGTAGATTAACTGATTCATCAGATATAAGATTAATATGCATTCTGATAACTGATTAATCATCCAAGTAGTTTTTCAAGCAAAAAGGGCAGACATTTGCTGTTTTTATCACTGTAAATTGATCAGACAAAACAAAGACATTTAAAGACGTCACCTTCGGCTGCAGGATATTATTATTATATTATTATTATATTGGGAAGCTGGACAAGTGGGCCAATAAACCATAGTATTAAAACAGACACAAAAAACTGCAGTTGCAAATCGATTGGTATGTGCCTTTAACGATGGCATGTGTGAGTGTGGTTACTGGTCCAGACGGGGGTGGGATGTTGACGTTTTCATACAATTGGCTACGTCAATCAATCACACCCTCCACATCAGAACATCATGAAACTGTTGAAACGCAGACCTACTCTCTAGCCCGTTTTTTGTGCTTCAAAAATCATGGATGAAAAACATGTGAGGAAACACCAAGGTGGTGTTGAGCAGTTAAAAGAAAAAAGAAAGGAGGTCGCTCGAGGCAGGTGCAGCACAGTGCCTCAAAATTACAGACTTTTGGTGCTGCAGTGAGGAAGCTGGCGACCCAAGTACTAGCACTGGCATGGGTGAACATGAAAGACAGCAGAGGTCAGGGCAATAGCAAAACATTACGATGATGCTTATTATTATGAATATGTTTGCTAATTACTAATCTTTTGCATACTATTGAACCAGATGCTTGGTCTAAACAGCCACTAGGCTTGTATGTACACCGTAACTTATTTATTGTACTCAATGGCTCAGGTGATGTGATTACTTTACTTGGGGAGAGCTAGATTGAAAATGTATTTTAATGGCTCATTTCATTATGTACTGTACTACTATAAAATTCTAACGAAAGCAGGAACAAAGGTTTCTAAAGACCCAGAGCCGGAGAGTGGACTGACCTGGGACAAACTGCTGGTACATTTTTTGGCCTTTTCATGTTGTAAAGGCACTTTTCCCTGTTTTCTTGCGTTTGTAGACCAACCAATTAACTGAGAATGAAAATAGTCATTAGTCAGCTCTAAGACTAATACATCAAAAACATTTTTTAGAGCACAACAGTTATGTTCAGTTTTAAATACTAATTCTATGTTCACTTTGGAATAGGGCTGGGAATATAAATTTCCTCAATAACAATATAACAAATGTTCAATATATTTTCAATAAATGTTTGACATCAAGTGTTTGTCATGTTCTGACCATAAAGAGTTTAAACCCCAATTAACCATCTGGTTAATTCAACTTTCACTCAGGAGCAAAAATCACCCTTTAGACTTAAAAGAAACAATGATTCTACATTTATCGTGATAATTATCGATATCAAATGGTATGACATTTTTTATTGTGATAAAATCTTTGGCCATAAGCCCTACTTTGGACAAATGTTACTACCTGAACAGAGAGAGACTATTTTTTTTTTCTTTAAATTATAGTCAAAAAATATATTACTTGTACCAGTAAATGATTGAATGGCTTCTTACCTCAATACTCATTTGCCAATACTCAATAATTTTACTGGTTAAAACCAATTTTGGATAATAAACAGACATAGGCCATATGTGCATGTCCTATACAGCCGTTGTATTTACCTGGGCCTCTCTTGTCCCAACCGCACACCATGGTTCCCATGCTGAGTCCCATGCCCTTGTACTGGTACACCATGTTGGCAAGCAGCTTGGAGGCTGCTGCCACAGAGATGCGCTCCTTGTTGCGAAGCTCATAGATGCGGCACTGGCGGGCCAGCAGGCGCTCCCAGAAACTACAGTCTGCAGCTCCTCCAGCCATGGTGCCCAGCAGGTAGGGGTTGATCTCAATCACCTTCTTCACGGTCTGCGAGGCTATGTAGGAGCCTGCTGTGGCCCGAGAGTCCACCGCTACAATGACGCCATGCTGGAACTGAGAGGCAACAGCGGGGGGGGGGGGGGGGGGGGGGGGGGGGGGGGGGGGAGACAACATGTTAGGGAGACACATTACAGCAGGAGGGAAACGTGTAACAACAGAGCAGTCACTGATGGATCAGTGATGAAAGTGTACAGTTTATTTACAACCTCTTATTTCTATCTAGACAGTGTGCTGCTGCTCATAAACAATATATAGTTGAGCTCTGCCAGAAAGCTGCTGGATAAGAGGGAAGACTTTAGTGCTTCCCTGTAAAACCTTCTATCATTGAACTGACGGTCACAATAGCCATACAGAGCTAAAGTGAAGACAACAGATTTGGCCAGTCAGAGGGAGACGTCTGCTGGGGAGGTTTTCATCAACCAGCTGCCCCCCCACCAGTCAGGGATTAAGGGATAAAGTTACTGTTATTTTATCTTTTCTTTATATCAACAAATCCCTTGAAGAGACCAAAACCAACTGCTGTGACGTGGTTCAGTATTTACACTGCTCTGCTTGTCTGACACAGTGAGAGGCAGAAGCTGTACAGGCTGTTTTCATCGTAATAAAAAAAGATATGTCACCCAGACATAATGGTATTGCTGTTACAGGTTTATGAAAATTTCTGGACAACAATGGGGTTCTGTGGCACTATCAGGCTATTACACAATCTAGTTGACAGCATGAATTCATTGTTGGTTTTTTGGTGTTTTCATGGAACTAGTTGATAATTATAAATCAACGGTATCGACCGATTCTGTAAGTAGAGGGCAAACACACCTTGTGCTTTAATTAGCTTTTATGCCTTGCTTAAATCTTTGAAGCACATGTTAAGTAAACAGCATTCCCTCTTTTGTTGACATTAATCATTAGCAGCTCCAGCTTTGTACTTTACTTATGAACAAAGCTACTACATGCCATGAGCATTTCCATAATGGTGTTTTTGTTGAGAGACAAACTTGTGGTGTGTTACCTCATCAGTTTGTAGGGGCTAATAATACCAGCCGATTTTAAACTTAGTTATGTCTTCAAGTTAGACCTTTTCTGGGGAAACCAAACATTCAATACATCTCCATCAGAATATAATGCCCGGTTCTGAAATAATACTTAAGAGCATCATGTATGGAAAGTCACTGTTGACATCTGGGTTAAAAGGAACCACATTTACAAAGGTGTAATAGTATAATTACAATGAACCATAACAAATTGCAGTAAAAAAAAAAATGTACAGGTTGTTGTTCTCCTCCTACAATAGATGCCAGGACATATAAGCAGAATAAAGTTACAAGTTTACACTTGACCTGTTAGATCTCCTGGTGCACAGTTAAATTACCTTGTTTAAAAAAGCATAAATAGTGTATTAGGGTTGAAAGAAAAAACATTAAGACAGCTCTTCATCATATTTAGCTTTTATTCCACAATACAAAAATAAAGCACCTGCACTATCAAAGGCACACAGGCTGATAACGTTACAGCATTATGTAATCCTTATATGTAAAACACAAATGTGGCTTATCTTTATATTATCATTAGCCTACTTTATCTATTAAAACACACAAAAGCCATGTGTGGATTCAGCACAGTTGCTGTTGACAGAAGTGGCATCTTGTTTCCCATTCATGCACTGGTCAGGTGTAAATAAAGCCACATGGCAGAATAGCTATAGCTTTGTGACACCTAAACAGAATCACACACTCAAAATCACACAAAGATGACCAGCTTAACGTTACTTTTATCGGGTTGCTTTTGAAGCCATTTGTGACAAATGACCATGAATGGTTCAGGTCATCTGCAATGAGAAAGCGGTTTGTAGCCATGCTAGCATGCTAACGTTTGAGATGTAACTTAGCGTTATGTTAGATATAAAGCATAACGTTTAAATTCTGGGGGATTTAGCAAACGTCTACTTTGTCAACTATATACGTATCTTTACAGTTGTATGCTGTTGGCTCGCTACAATAAGTCTCTCTAATAACGTTACTTACTTTAAAGGCTAAGGTGGTGGTTCCATGCAGGAACTCTATTTTCCTCTCGACGCCATCCTCGTCCGCGGCGCACAGCGGGTTTTTAACAGAAAAACTGAGACCGTCTCCCGGCGTAGCGTCAAATCCCAGACCGCTATGCACGGGTCCACATCCCAGAGTCAAAGGCTGAAAATTGTCAAATGAAAAATCCGCACAATCACTGTTCAACACACTAGCAAGAGCCATCTTTGAAACTGTCTAGTGAGCAAGCAATTTCCGCCGTTTGCGGAGTACGAACGTTTATAAATTCACTGTGGTAGAAACACACAGCGCCCCCTCTGTTTTGGGCGGACTGTACATTTTGTTTTGCGATGCAAAACTCTACACACTAACCACAAAAACTTCTGCCAAAAAAACAAAACATTACATATCCCTTGCAAAAGCAAACAATTCTTGCAAAACTCTTAAAAGTTGTGTTTTTGCATCACTACAGTACACACAAACGTCTTTGCACATGAAGCAGCAACTACGCATAGTTGTAAAGGAAAGCACTTGTGGCTTTTGCTTTTTCTGTGTGTAGGGCAGAGCAGTTTGCAATAAAGCTTTGTCATGCATGTATTACAGTAAAGGTCTGAATGTGTGTTCCTCGGCTGTTTTACATTTATTCATTTTAGCTGACTCTTTTATTCAAAGCAACTTACAATTGCTATTTTATCAGAGGTCGCACACCTCTGGAGTAACTAAGGGCTATGTGTCTTGCTCAAGGACACATCAGAGGGTGTCACAGTGGGGAGTTGAACCCAGGTCTCTTATACCAAAGGCATGCGTCTTATCCACTGCCCCATCACCACCCTTTTACACAAGCTGAGTTTCTGTCACATGAGACTCTTGTTCAGCTGCTTCATTCAATGCAGAGAGATTCACTCTGTTGATGCTGTGGAACATTGTGTTACATTGTGGTCCTGTAGTTCTCTGTATTTACAATGTGGGAATTATTAGTTTGTGTTTAAGCATTCAGATAAAAACATTTCAAGGCTACAACAATTTCAAACTACTTAGCATTTTAGACTACATGAATCATGAAGAAAGAGTGTATTCTAGCTGGCTGACAAAAACGGATCAACTACTCTGAAGAAGAGGGCCTCTTTTTTCCCCCTCCACTATCTTTGCCCTCCTCTCCATGTCTCTATAATATTCCTCTTTCAGGTCCTCTCTCTTTCTTTGGCTCCATCCCTGGGCTGTGATGTGAAAGAGGTCCACATTGTTTCCTGAGTAGGCATCCCTGTGAGTGGCTCTGAACACGGCTTCTCTTGCCAAGGAGATGGCCTCTTCTTTACTCAGGCTCCACCTCAGCCCTCTATCCAGGACTCCATACGCATAAGGAGAGCCTGAGCCCACAGAAAAGACATCCCCCTGCAGGCGGGCTCCATCACTGCACACGTATATCAGCTTTGGGCCACTGTTAGGAGATGCAGAATGTACCATTGCAGTAACATCTTGGCTACTAACAACAGTTGAGGAGCTATCATCAGTAATAAACGATGAGTCTTCTGACCTCTTTGCAAAGCCAGTGTCACCTGCTTCCTTGTCCCAGCCACAAAGTGTAAGAGCCACACACACGTCAGTCCCTTTAAATGGGTGCAGCATAAAGGAGAGGAGCTTGGCAGTGCCACATATGGAAAGACAACGTCTGTGCCTCAGTTGGTAGAGTCTGATCTCTCTGGCCAGAATTCGCTCCCATAGCATGCAGTCTGCACCGCTACCAGAGGAGGTGACCACTAAATGGGAGTGAATTGGTGTAATCTTATGAACAGCTGGACAGGCAACAAGCCCCCCAGCACTCGCCCGTGTGTCGGCAGCTGCAATGACCCCACCTTCGAAGATGAAACCCAAGGTCGTTGTTCCATGAGAGAGAGGGAAAGGCCTGCGGACTGTCACTGAATGGTTGGCAGGCAAAAAGGGGAATGAAGGTCTGTGGTTGGCAGAGTTTGGCAAAGTTGGTATGAAGAAATGCAGTGGGATCCCACTATTTCTCCGACACTTCTTTAGTCTTCCCAATCCAAAGCTGTAATAGTCACTCATTTGAAAAGATGTGGCTGTATCTTCGAAATGAGAGTCAGGAAACCACTTGCGATGCACAGGAGAGTCTTTGAAGCCACAGATATCTTCCAAAGCCATAATGGTGTAAGTGAAGCAGATATCTGCAGATATAGATTGATTAGAATTTCAGAGATTGGCAGTGTCATCACACAAAGTTAAAACCAGAGTCCATTAATAGAAAAATTGGTCAAACATGGTTTGTATTGGCTGCGACCCTCAGTCATCTAGCATCTAGTATGAAAAAACAAAGTTTTTACTCTTTTATAGCCCTCCCAAATATGACACCCTGCAAAAAACACACACGCTTGGGCACATGTCCAAAAGCACTTGAGTTGACATAAGTGATATTTTATCCTACCTGCGGTGAAAGCAATATCTAGAGAAGCCCTTTTCTGCAAACCCTATGTTTTGCTGAGTGACCGAGTCATCTTGCCAGTTGTTTGCAAGTTCATACACATCACACTATTTTGAATGTGTTGTTAAAGGAAGCTACCAACAGCAGGGTTTTCATTTTCTGTCAAACTTTCCATACTGTTGCTCTGTCTTAAATATGGTCCAGTGACAATTACAAAGTAGCAATAGAGGGACTTAAGTAATAATTCATCTGATGGAATACCAATAAATTAAATGACTTTACGCTAAGTTAATTTATCTAAGAGCAAAAAATTTATTTGTCTGGCATAACATTTCTGAAACAGAGCCTAAAAAAACGTTGACACGAAAACATCAACTGTTGAGTTAAAAAATCATGAACTGAAGAATGTAGATGCAGGATTATCGCGGTAATTTACGAGATATGCAACTGAATTACTTGCGATGCCATTTTGGGTCTAAACTATCTTGCCGCCCAATAGCCATGCACGTCCTTGCAGATCCAAGATGGCGTCAGTTTCCTCGTAAGCCATGATGCTCCTAGTCAATCCATCCATTCGGCTAAAATCATGGCGTCTGCCAGCACGGGGAGCAGAGTGTCCTGCGGGAGAGATTTGAATTGTGTGCCGGAGGTAGCCGACACGTTAGCTGCGGTCGCCAAACTTGGGTGAGGAGAGTGCTGCACAGTGCGAGTAGTTTTTTTAGTAGAAATGAGCTCACGAGAGGGCGCGCTGGTGTGCTAGCATAATATGAGTGCGTGGGTTTGCTAGCATGTCAGTGCCTGATGCTTGCTAAGCTAGCCGGTGAATGACCAACACGTGCCCAATCTCAAAGATGCTTGACACTGGATAGTATTTATTATAACTCGTGTAGGCTGTTCTGTTAGAAATTTTGTGAGATGGCTGGGGGATTGTTAAGTAAACAGGTTTGCGTTTCACCTCTGCTTGACATTATGAATCATATAGATGTTTAAATGATGTGCTTTCTTTCTTTCCCTGTTGTGCAGGTTTGACTTCCTGTGCATGCCCCTGTTCCACTCGAGGTTCAAGAGAGAGTTTGAGTTGGAGCCCGCTAAATCCAGAGCCGGTGCTCAGACCCGATCAGACCTGCTGCTGTGTGGAAGAGGTCAGTGTTTCTAGACCTCTCGTCCTTTATCACGTCAGGCTTCGTCAACGTCAACTTTTACTAAATTCCAAACCTGGTCGCAACATGCCTGTTGTCATTATGTTTTATCATATTTAAACTCACTTAAGCACCTTGCTATACAATGCATAAAATTACCTACTTGCACAATTATTCAGTGTATTACTGTGCACTATCATCATTATATTGTGTACATTACTCTAATACATATTAATATGGTATGGTCTTTCTTTTAGGGTCAATTTCTATTCTCAGAATAAATTCTCTTCTTTTTCATTTCAGACATTTTAATATATTTGTAAAATGTATTATTCGACATATCGGACTTTTGTTAGGGATAGAAGTCTGGACTTATTTTGAATGTTTTCCCTGGTGTTTGTTTACACAGTCCATCTACCTTTAGGTGATGGCAGGCGTTAAATGTCTGATGTTGAGTACATCAGAAAATAGAACTGCAAAGCTAGACAATTGAATCATATGATATGATTAAGCAGTTCACGAAGCTGAAAAAGTATTATATATATTATATATATTAGGCCTGGGCGATATGGGCAAAAATGTTATCACAATAACATTTTTTATATCATTCCATATTTATAGTTATACCGATAAATATCAAATCATCATCATTTAAACTATTATGTATGGTCACAACATGACAAGCACTTGATGCCAAAGCGGATCTCTGGCAATGTAACAGTGGATAAGTAACAAGCGTTTGGTGTGAGAGACCTAGGTTCGATCCCCACTGTGACATATTCACCAATGTGTCCCTGAGCAAGACACTTAACCCCTAGTTGCTCCAGAGGCGTGTGACCTCTGACATATATAGCAATTGTAAGTCGCTTTGGATTAAAGCTTTTGTCCTGTGTCTAAACTTTAATACTATTTGATAAGTTGATGAAGTGGTATCTGTCAATGTTATATTTTATATTGCTGTTGCTCTGCTTGCACCTGGACGTTTTGCAATGGTGAGCCACCATAACTTAAACTCATGTCGCCACACTGTTAGTAGCAACTCTAATGCTCTTACCAAATACAAAATGATTCACGCTGCCTACTGGATTCAGTGCAAAAGTTCAACTAAAATGAACAACAACTGCGGTGTAATTTCAAATCCAAAAAGAGTAAAATATTACACTAAATTAGTGTTAAGGTATCAACACTCCAAAAAGAGTTAAAGTAACACTCTGTGGTGTGGTGGACCCATGTAGACAACTCTGACAGTGTTAATGTGGGTATACTGATTTTACTGTGTTTGTTTATGTATGACTTGGCTGCTGTGACACTGGCATTAATTAATTACAATGTCTCTCAGCGCTAACACAAACAGTTGACACATCAGATTTAGTATATAGGTAAAATGTTAGCGTAAGCCTTTTTTTCCCACACTATAGGGCCAGTGAAACAGATGGATGTTATCACTGAGAGCTTAAATGACTCCCGGGATTGACAAGAAATGCTGATATGTTGATTAATGCTTTTTCTTAACTCTCTGTAATGCTTTGTCTAGACTGGAATACTCTTATTGTTGGAAAGCTCTCACCATGGATCGACGCAGATTCAGAAATCGAGACAGAACGCAGAAACTCAGAGGCTGTAAGTTCCTCGCTTTGGACCATTTCTTTGACATAGACTTCCTTTGAGGTTGTTGTGGATGTTGTTACTGGAGAGAGTTTTATCTTAAGACTTTGTAGCATGAGTGAACTTATCTTGTCCAGTCTCTCCTGTCTGCTACTCTGAATCCTGTCTCCTTGTGTCATCCCACCACGCTCATCATTCTTTTTCCTTCTCTCCAGGCTCTGGCGCAGGAGCTAAACTTCTCAGCCTATCTGGGCCTGCCTGTCTTTATGGTCCCTCTAAAGGGCCCTCATAATGCCAATCTAGCCCGTGTGCTGCTAAACCACATCCACACTGGACACCACACCTCAAATGTAAGACACACAGCATTAAGGAATACTCAGCATGCATGTGAAGAAGTCAGACAGACACCTAAATTCTTCCATTAACTGCTGTCGTCCTCTGTGTCTGATTAGTTCTGGATACGTGTCCCGCTGATGGCTTCAGAGGACATGCGGGAAGATCTGATTGAAAATGAACCAAGCACTTACGTTGATGACACAAGTGTTGATGAGAAGACCTGGAGCTGGTTAGTTTTACGCCAGTCCACTTCCTGAGCAGTCTGGTGCTGTCTGCATGCTAAAACAGTTGTCATTGATTTCCTTGAAATTCTGGACTCATTTTGTTTACTTGCCTCTGCTTCTTTAGGTGGCACTCATTTAGAACCCTTTGTGATTACAACAAGAGGATCTGTCTTGGTGAGAGAGAACACTGTGAAGCGACAGCCTGGGGCAAAGTCAGTGCATTAAGAAATAATCATGGCCGTGTCTGCTACTGAAAATGCACTTTTGTTTTGTATTCCTGAAGCTATTGAAGTTGGAGCAGACATGCCTTCAGACGCTGTGATTGATAAGTGGCTCGGGGAACCCATCAAGGCAGCCATACTCCCCACCAGCATCTTCCTAACTAATAAGAAAGGCTTCCCTGTTCTGTCAAAAGCCCATCAGCGGATAATCTTTTCTCTTTTCAAGGTATGACTCCACAGATTCAACTAAAATTAATCACCAGCCAAATGCGGAAGTGTTGTTTTATTAAAGCAATCTGTTTTCTTAGTTGGAGGCCCAGTTCGTCTTCACAGGAACCAGTCGCCACACTGAAAAGGACTTCAGATCCTACCTGCAGTACCTGGAGTACCTCAACCAGAACCGGCCTGCACCCAATGCCTACGAGCTCTTCGCCAAGGGCTATGAAGACTATCTGCAGTCTCCCCTGCAGGTAACGAAGTGCTCAAGTTTGTTCCATAATATAGATATGTTATCTTTTTTTACCTTTTGACGATAAAAACAGAATGTATTTCTTTCCCTTCCTCCCTTTAGCCACTCATGGACAACCTGGAGTCCCAGACATATGAAGTATTTGAGAAGGATCCTATTAAATATTCCCAGTACCAACAGGTAAGACCATCAGACACGTCTGTAACTGCACTAGAAAGGTGTTAAATGGCTATGTGACCTTGTTCTTAGTTGTCTACCTCACAAACAGATATGCTTAGGGTTAAGGATTTTTTTTAATATAGTAGTTATTCAGTTTCAATTAAGTTTTATTTATATAGCGCCAAATCACAACAGAGAGGGGGGCAGAGAGAGAGGGATGGAAGGCAGTCTACACAATATACACAAAGAGGTACAGGTAGTAAAGGTGATGTTGCTATAGATTAAATGAAAAATGGTACAGATATTTATAGTAGTGTTAATGATAATAATCGTAAATATAAAAATAAATAAGGGACGCGAAAGCACAAGACTACCGGAAAGGGGAGAAGTCGAGTTAGTAACATGCAATAATGGGATGAGGTTGCATACAGAGGGAAAGAAAGTAGAGGAGAGAGGAGCTCAATGCATCATGGGAAGTCCCCCGGCAGTCTAGGCCTATAGCAGCATAACTAAGGGATGGTTCAGGACTCACCTGAGCCAGCCCTAACTATAAGCTTTATCAAAGAGGAA